TTGGTAAATTCCCAGTATCCATAGGAAAAAAAACACTACAAAGGGGTAAAACAAAGATCAAAAAAAGAGAATAAGGAAAGTTGTTTACATTTAACTATCTAGGTGAAGAAGGAATCCCAGCACATTAAATATGAGGTGATATAAGACACGTTAGTATTATGCAGTAGATGACAATGTGGGAGACAGAGGGACACCCTAACAGTACTTGGTGATAGCAGTCTGGGCAATAGGGTTATGATGGAATAAAGAAACCTACATTTTACTAGGTATGTGGTGCTAAGCCACCCAGGGTTAAAGCGAATAGTAGACGTGCAATTAATTTTGTTCCAAATGTAAATTCGGACGAAGTTCGGCAATTCGGACATTCGGATGCTTCCGAATTTCTGAATTTCTGAAGTGCTGAATTTCGGAAGTGCCGAAGTGGCGAATTGCCGAAATGCCAAATTTCGGAAGTGCCAAACCGAATTGCAAAAGTGCCACATTTCGGAAGTGCCAAAGTCCTTTGGATTTCTGAAAAGTGCCAAAACAGGAGAGGAAGGGAAAATTATGGGAATGATGGCAGGAATATATCCCTACCCTTACCCCTAACCATACACCTAACCCTATCTCTAACCTTAACCCTACCCCTTATCCCTAAACCCTAAACCCTACCCCTAACCTTACCCCTACCCTATTTATTGTATTTTTGTACTTTGCCCCACATGAAATATAATCCTGCATAGACATGTTCCTGGTAAATTATCCCCATTCTTAGGGAATATTTTACATCCAATGCCACCAAGGAGGTCCCCTTATCTATGGGATGGTCAGCACATAATATGCCATCTGATTAGCATAGTCACGCACAGGTAAAAAGCTAAAACCCAGGCAATTACTGATTTCTAAAAGGAGGTGAGGAAGGCAAGGGCCAGTCTCAAAACAAGACCAAACAGCAGATCCTTGGAGGAACTGAAGGCCACAAGAATGCATCTGAAAGGGCTTCTTTTATGAAAAGCAAACTTGACAAAACAACTTGACAAAACTCTGTGGTTTTGTGAACGACCTACACCAATTGTATCATGGACCCTCAGGGGAGGTTGATTTCGTCTTCTGAAGCTATATACTCAGCATTTAAAAATGGATACAGTTCACCTTATAACCACACCAGAGCACTCATCTAACAATCAATCCTACAGGGAATCTCTAGAGAGATTTCTTAGGTCTCTAAAACCTGTCCCACCAACAGACAAAGACACTTCATTAGCAGACCTATCAGAGAAGGTTCTCGCAGACATATAAGCAATAAAAGGGAACAAGGCCCATTGCTTAGATGATTTGCCTTATCTATGGAACCCCTCCTACACCTTATTAAATAAAATAAATCCATAGAGGGGAAAGAGATGGGCGGAGAATCTTTTAAAATACGCCAATGATGTTCTTTAAACTCTGGCAGAGCCTGCTTCTACTCTGCCCCCATTTTTTATGCTACTCCCAGACTTTGGGATATTATCAGGATGTATGGTCAATGTAAACAAATCCCACTCAATACTAATGAGACTGTCAGCTGCCAAAATGGATGCAATATAATCAGCATACAAATTACAGATAAAATCTTCAGTCCGTTAATTAAGCATTAAGATAATAGACAACTTTAAAACACTATTTGTTAATTACTCTGTCTTGTTTAAATAGACCAGAAGAGATTTGAAATCCTGGGGGGGAGACCAATCTCTTGGATAGGTAGAATGCATAGAATAAAATAAATATCATACCAAGATTGCTCTTTTTGTTCCAGACCCTAACGGTGTGGTCTATAAGCAGGATCTGGAGGGTACTCGAAAGACTCTTTCAGATGGGGTACACAGGTTTTCAAGAAATATGCTATATAGACCAAAAATGGGTTGGGGCCTGGGCCTTTGAACCTACTGAGGCACTACTACTCAGCTCAGCTAGCACAAATGGTGATGTGGCGTGCTCCACCAGAGGAGAGTAGATGGGTGAACTCGCTATCCTAGTTTATGGGATCAGATCTCCCGATGTTCTACATGTGGATAAACAAACCACAGAGGCCCCTACTCACACAAGCTGCACAGCCATCCTGACATCACTCTCCATTTGGGACAGAATAAAATGTAAATTCCAATTAACCTCTGACTCCTCGTCAATGACTCCACTTCTTAGAAAATAGGGAGTTCCCCCTGTAGTGTGTCCACAGGATTTTAGGAACACAGAGCTAGCAGGGATACAGCGTTATGGTCACTTATTGAACCAGTCCCACGAAATAGCTGCAGCGTCCTGAAGGCTAAGGTCCCTCTAAACACCCGGGACTTTTTTCCATACATACAGGTCATCAGGGATTTAGCCCTTCAGCCAGAATACAGAGAGCAGTGGGACAGTCCCCCACCCCATTTGAAATGTAGTGACTTCAGGGAAGCTATCAGAGGAGTTTAGTGTCTCAGATATAGAAGTACATATGCTCTCAATCCACAATCTGGGGGTCAATTTGATACATTGCACAATGGGATGTACATCTGGGGGGGGATGAGATTGAGGCAGGGCCGGCGCTTCCTATAAAGCGAACTAGGCAGCCGCCTGGGGCACCCTATAGGAGGGGGGAGTGGAGAAGGTTACAGGGAGGGAGGGAGAGAAGATTACAGGGAGGGAGTGGAGAAGATTACAGGGAGGGAGGGAGGAGAAGAAGAAGATTACAAGGAGGGAGGGGGGAGAAGAAGAGAAGATTACAGGGGGAGGGGAGGAGAACACGGGGGTGGGAGATGAGAACGTAGGGGGAGGGAGAGACCACTAAAGGAGGGAGGGGGCAGTGGAGAGACTACTAGGGGAGGAGTGTGAGGAGAGACCGCTAAAAGAGGGGGGTGGAGGATAGACCACTAGGGGAGGGTGGGGGGAGAGGAGAGACCACTAATGGAAAGTCAGGGAGAAAAGGAGACCACTAAGGGAGGTGGGGGGGGGGAGGAGAGACCACTAAGGGGCAGGGGAGATCTCTAAGGAATGGAAGAGAGAGCTCTAAAGGACAGGGGGCAGGACAGGGAGCTCTTTCACACCACGCCACACACACACACACACACACAATGCATCCCTATACACACAGAACCACAACATGCTTCCCTTACACACAGAGAAACACACAATGCAACCCTTACAAATAAAGACAATGCATCCTTTGCACATATACACAGAAACACACACTGCTTCTCTTACACACACACAGAAACACAATGCATCTCTTACACACACTCAACGCACCCCTTACAGACACACACACTGCATCCCTTACATACACAGAAACACACTTTGCATCCCTTATGCATACAAACACAGATTCACACAATGCATCCCTTACACACAACAAGAAACACACAATACATTCCTTATACACAAACACTCACTGCTTTCTATCCCTTACACAAAAACACACTGCTTCCACTACACACACACAAACACACTGCATCACCTACACAAACTGGTATCCCTATACACTACATTCCATAAGCACACACATTAGATCTTCTACAGTAACACATAACACATCCCCTACACACTCTACTCCCTGTGAGCGGACTCATGGGTGGAACATGTAGGTGGACTTATAGGTGGGCTTTATGGGCATACTCACCGTCGGGCCCTGGGGTCCAGACCTTGAGCTATGTAAGAGGCCCCCAAAAATTGAGCTGCTTCCCGTTCTCCCAGAACATTGAATTTTGTGACCACAGTTACAAACAGCCTCCAGAGATCCTGTTCTACACCAGACCAGTGGAGCCAGACTGCAGCCAGAGCCCATCACCATCCTCATCTGATTGTAAGTAGGCAATCTAGTATATAATAGTGACACTAATCTCTAATTTACCTCACATTAAATGGACACTATAGTCCCCAGAACCACTGCAGCTTAATAAAGTTGTTCTGGTGTCTATAGTTTGTCCCTGCAGGCTTTTTAATGTAAACACACACTGTGTGCAGCACTGGCACTAGTTCATATGGCAGATCATATGGGTGGGGCATTGCGATGTCCCGGGGGGGGGAGGTGGGAGGGGCGGCAAATCTTTATTTTGCCTAGGGCGGCAAAAATCCTTGCACCGGCCCTGGATTGAGGGTGAAATATGGGAGGACATATGGGAGGCGGCAGCTGTGGCAAGCACCTCAATATGCATTACAGGCCAGGAACAAATGTTTAAGATTTTGTTCAGTTGGTATACCACCCCTGTTCAACTGTGCATAATGGAAAAGATACCTACAAATGAGTGTTGGAGATCAAGTGGTCATTATGGGTCTTACTTCCTTATGGACCTGCCCATTAATAGTCGCTTTCTAAGAAAGTGTGAGGGAGCAATTGAAGTCAGTGTTCCAGAGACAATTCAATCTAGATTCCTGAATTTTCCTATTATACCAACCACTAGAACAGAAAACTTTCAATAACATTAGCTGCTAGAAGCGCAACTGTGGCATCATGGTTTATACCTCCCTCTATAAGTAAATGCCCACTTTCCCCCTAATGTTGAAATGGTTAGAAAAAAAACCTTTTTTTTCCACTTACCTGATTATATCACTGAGGTCCCACAGCACTGTCTCTGTCTTCTCCTCGTCCTCTGACGTAAACAAAATGGAGGAAACGAATGTGTATAGACAGCGAGCACTGCACGTGCGTTGGGTTTCCTACAGATATTTTAATCTAAGCTCTGTAATATAAATTTTGCAATTTCTCTGAAACTGGTGTACAGGTGGAATTGTAAGAGAACCTAATTTTTGAGTAAATGGAGCAATGTTAGTTATGTAGGGTATATTGGTTAGATAAACAGAGATATTCAAACAATACCATGGAACACAATGACATTTTCAAAGACTATGGGCAACTGTACACTAATAAACATGAGCATTCTACTCTATGCAGACACATACAGTCTTTTGGACACATATTCAAAGCAATGTTTTATTAAATTTAGTTAATATAATGAACACTTGTAGTGACTCTTTCAGAACAGTAGGTTTGGCATTTAACAAAATTGCTTCACTTTTATGTACCTCAAAAGTTTATTCATCACTCGTACAAATACATAATAAAATCTTATGCCAGTTGAGTAGCCATACCAACAAACAGTATAAGTTCATTCTGATACTTCACTGAAAATGTATTTGATGACATTCGTGTTTTCACTTTGCATATGGGTAAAATTGGGAATAGATAATAGTGATAAAATGATAACGGTACAAGGGACCAATTAAGTAATAAAACTATGGGTTTCAAGTATGATCTTCATATCACTCAACATTTTGCTGTATTTACAAAATCAAAGATGTTTTGCATTGTTTAAAATAAAATGAAATAAAATTTTACATACAGAATGAATAACAACGTTGTACTGAAGCAGATATCACAAACTCATTGAGTTCTCAATTTATTTTTTGTACTCTAAAGCCCAAATCACTAATGACCCATTGTGCTGCCACCCATTATTATTAAAATAGATTGATTAAAAACAAACAAACAAACAAACAAATAAACACTTTCTCGTAGCATATATATCATATATATCTAAGCATCTATGCCTTGCTGTCATCTGTCTTTTTAATAATGACTTTTTCCCACCTGCAATATTCTAACACAGGCTTCCCCAAACTTTGGCCCTCCAGATGTTGTTGAACTACAACTCCCAAGATTCTATGAATGAAATAGATAGGTTGAGAATCATGGGAGTTGTAGTTCAGCAACATCTGGAGGGCCGGAGTTTGGGGAAGCCTGTATCTAACTAAAACAAACTACCAAACTTCGCTTTCTTGTCCAACAACTAATTTTAACCTTTCATCTGTTATATTTTGTTTTTTCTTTTGTTTTTTTTGTTTTGGTTTTTTTCTTTAACTGTAGGCAGTGATACTGCAGGGTCATGTTATATACACCCAAACTGCTTCATTAAGCTAAAGTTGTTTTGATGCCTATAATATCCCTTTAACCCCTTATGGACCAAACTTTTTGAATAAAAGGGAATCATGAGATGTCACACATGCCATGTGTAGCCTGTATATCTTAATTCTCTATCTCATGTTGGTCCTCCTCACATTCTGGACAATACTTGCTTGCTTTAAACAGTATCAAAGTCACCTTTTTGTAGATATATTATAAATGCATTGCAAGATTTTCATATTGTTGATGTAGACAAAGTCTCCAAACGCACAAACATCCAGAAAATAACTCAAATATCGTCTGAGTCTTTATATAAAATAGTAAATATAAATTTAACTATATATTTACACTATATTTGTTATTTGCCCATGTTAACACAATTCTACATCATTCTGAAATGGGAAAATTACCTAAACATTAACTACTTCAAATCGACTTTGAAGATCTATGTTGTGGGTATGTGTATGTGTGTGTGTGTGTGTCTGTGTATATATATAAATAAATGGATATTTGCAAGAAACCTCTAAAAGGGTAACAATACACTTTTACAAGGGTCTTGTTGTAAACCAGATTTTGCTATCATTCTTTAGGAAATGTGTATATTTTTCTCCATATTTTATGCACCGAAATGTTTAAAACAAAACAGACAGCTAATTCACATGTTATTATTATTATTATTATTATTATTATTTTATTATTTATATAGCGCCAACAAATTCCGTAGCGCTGTACAATGGGTGGACTAACAGACACATAATTGAGATCAGACCACTGACGTACAGGAACAGAGGGGGTTGAGGGCCCTGCTCGATGAGCTTACATGCTAGATGGTATGGATTTCTGAAATGTTTTATGTCATATTGTGTCATTTTAAATATTTCTGTAAGGAACTATTATTTAATAAACATTTACAATACTATTTATATAGCAGAATGTTTAGTTTGGGAATCTTGCCTATTATCCTCAGTTTATCGAATCGTAAAATCCTGCTAAAGTGTGATACATCTCATTCATACACCCATGTATATTGGATGGGGTTAATATTATTTAACAGTGGGGGAATTCCCCCATTACCGTTTTTATAGAATGTGCATTTGCCCACCAGACCTCTATTAACCAGGGTTACCCTGGTTAATTTCCTTCACAAGTCCACAATTTGTGATGTGGGTAAGGATTTTGCATAAATATGAGGAGCAAACAGCACCCCTTTGTTATGTTCCTGTTTGTTTAGTGGTGAGATGGATGGAGTTAAAAATTAGACAGGAGTTCTCATTTATCTGAGCTTTTACCAATCCTTCTAAGTACAGTTCAAGAAGGTTGCTTCCCTCTGAGTAATGATACAGAGACACCATGACGGTAGGATGTCAGGAGTATAACCAATCCACTTGGCATAAATGACCTCATATGAAATATAGAATGAGTCTGCAGTACCTATTTTTTTCAAAAATGTATGGTGCTTGTAAACTTCTTGATAATCTAATTTGAGAAGTTGTCTAGCTAGGATCACTACTTAATATCGATTTAGCACTAATACAGCTTTAGAATTCTTAACATATTCATTTATTAGTTGATATTTCGATGCTGCTGGCTAGAAATTAATACAAATTACCTTTTCTCAACTGACCTCCTTGAAAAATTAATTGAAAAGTCAAACTTTAGTGGACAAATCCTGTTCGTCATTGTTATTTTGAGAACATTATTTAAAAGTGGTTTTCATTGAATTTTAAGTGGATTGGCTGATAGCTATCATTTACAAGATTTTTTTTACTTACAATATTTGCCTTTCTCTGAGTGATAGTAATGTACAAATATGATAATAAACAAATATAATAAACAATAATATAACAATAAACATATAATAATATAATAATATAATAAACAATAAACAAATATAATAATAAACAAAAAGATGAGATCTCTCATCTTTCTTCTTCCCCTTACAATACTTCCCCTAACTTTACTCCCTCTGCTCTTCTATGTTCATTTGCACCTGCTACATTGGAAGAGGTTTCTGCTCTGCACCAGTCCTCCTGCTCCCTAGATCCAATTCCCTCGCATCTCATCCGTACTCTGTCTTCTTCTCTTTCTCCACCTCTCACTAAAATTTCCATTGCTCTCTCTCCTCTGGTATATTTCCATTGCCCTTCAAACATGCAACTGAAACCCCAATTCTAAAGAAGCCCAATCTGGACCCTAACTCCCCATACAACTATTGTCCTGTCTCACTACTGCCTTTTGCATCCAAGATCCTTGAAAGAATTGTGTATGTGAGATTGACAGACTTCCTTGAGTCTAACTCTCTGCTAGACCCACTTCAGTCTGGTTTCCGCGCTAAGAACTCTGTGGAAACGGCACTGACCAAAGTATCCAATGATCTACTCGCTACAAAATCTCGTGGTCACTACTCTATCCTAATTCTCCTTGACCTGTCTGCAGCTTTTGACACTGTTGATCATCAACAGCTTCTTCTCATCCTCCGCAATATCGGTCTACAAGATATTGCTCTCTCCTGGTGCTCCTCCTACCTCTCCCAGCGCTTTTTCAGTGTTTCTTTCTCTGGCTCTGCTTCTTCTCCCCAACTCCTCTCTGTTGGTGTCCCCCAAGGTTCAGTCCTTGGTCCCCTATTGTTCTCCATCTATACTGCCTCCCTTGGTAAACTCATTAGCTCCTTTGGCTTCCAATATTATTTCTATGCAGATGAAACACAAATCTACCTGTCCTCTCCTGATCTCTCCCCATCCCTCTTGACTAGTGTATCTGACTGCTTCTCTGCTGTTTCTAACTGGATGGCTGCCCACTTCCTTAAATTAAACTTGACCAAAACTGAAATTCTGGTCTTTCCTCTCTCAAGTGTTGTTACTCCTGTGTCTGTCTCCCTCCAAGTCAACGGTGCTACTATCAGCTCCACCACGCAGGCTCGCTGCCTAGATGTTCTCTTTGACTCTGACCTCTCCTTCAAGCCTCATGTTCAATCTATCACCAAATCCTGTCATTTCCATCTCAAAAACATTGCGCGCATCCGCCCCTACTTAACGCCAGATGCGACTAAGGTGTTGGTCCATTCCACTGTCCTTTCTTGCCTTGACTACTGTAATCCACTTCTCAGTGGTCTTACGTGCTCCCAACTTGCGCCGTTACAGTCCATAATGAATGCGGCGGCGAGGCTCATCTTCCTGTCCGCCCGCACCTCCCATGCCTCACCCTTCTGTCAGTCCCTACATTGGCTTCCTATAAAATATAGAGCTCAATTTAAAATTCTGGTTCTTGCTTTCAAATCTCTACATAATGCTGCTCCCACCTATCTATCCTCCCTTATACACAAGTATGTCCCGTCTAGGCCCTTACGATCTGCTGAAGACTTACGTCTATCTTCTGTCCATACTCCCACCTCTGATGCTCGCCTTCAAGATTTCTCGAGTGCTGCACCGTTCCTGTGGAACTCTCTTCCCTCCCCTGTTAGATGCTCACCCAGTCTCCACTCCTTCAAAAAAATCGTTAAAAACCCACTCCTTCATAAAAGCGTATCAATTGAATTGTTAATAACTCCTGACTGATTCCTCTTCTGCAACTGTCACTAGTCTAATACTATCCTTACCTTTTTGTGTCATTTTACCCCACTCCCTCTAGCATGTAAGCTCATTGAGCAGGGCCCTCAACTCCTTTGTTCCTGTGTGTCCAACTTGTCTGGTTACAACTACATGTCTGTTCGTCCACCCATTGTAAAGCGCTGCGGAATTTGATGGCGCTATATAAATATCATAATAATAATAATATTTACAAAATACATTTAAGTACATGAGATAAGTCTAGCCACCTTGGTCTCAATTTAATATTTTTGGATACGGTTTTCAAATGATAACAATCTGTTAGAAAAACCTTTCAAAAGTCTACATAAGTCATTATTAAAGTCAATGGAAATTTGAAAAGTCAATGACAAGTTTTGTGAACAGATTGTGATCATTTTGAAAAGCACATCCAAAAATATTAAATAGGTATCTTTGTCTGGTTTTATTCACAAATCACATTATAACACTTCTCAAACTATAAATAAATGTTATTTTTCTTCATTGTAAAGTGCTTTAGTTGACAGTGTTCTCTAGTATTCTTCTAAATTATCATGTGTTGTGAGTTCTTATATAACAATCTGGGTTAGCAGTTAAAGGAACACTATAGGGTCAGGAACACAAACATGTATTCCTGACCCTATAGTGTTTAATCCACTGTTCAGGTGACTTGCACCCCCTTAGCCTCCTTAGAAAAGGTGGAAACTCACCTTATTTTGCTTCCTTGATGACATAATCCGATTTTCCGATTTTTAGCCAATCCAATGGGGAAAGCATTGGATTTATGGAAATCGGCAAAGAGGTGGGATGGAGCGGACCAAATGCTGTTTTGGCCAATCAGCACTTCTTCATTGAGATGCATTGAATCAATGGATCTCTATGAGGAAAATTCAGTGTCTCCATGTATATCGTGGAGTTGCTGAATGGCAGTGCTGCCTACTGTGCAGCACTGGCCCAGGAAGCACCTCTAGTGGCCAGCTGAGGAGTAGCCACTTGGAGGTGTCCCTGTGGTTACAATGTAAACACTGCCTTTTCATTGAAAAGGCAGTGTTTGCATGAAAATGCCAGATGGCAATGATTATACTCACCAGAACAACTGTATTAAGCTGTAGTTGTTCTGGTGACTATAGTGTCCCTTTAAGGTTAAGTTAACTTAATTGTAGCTAGGGTTAGCTTTGCAAGCAAAATCAGAGTCCAAATCAAAGGCTAGATGTTACGTACCTTGTGAAGTTTTGAGGTAGAGCCATTTGAGTTATGGTTTGGGGGTAAAGAGACAGATGTTAGGGTAGTGTTTATTTTTAAAATGTTGGGGTAAAGGCAGCTAGAATAATAAGGGAGATGTTATGTTTGGAGTCTGGGTAGAGGTGAGGGTTAGTTGTTAGGGGTTGGACACATTTGGTTAGTGTTTCACATTACTTACCTAATATCTCTATTGAATATTGGCACATCAGAAATTGCATTGCAAAACATGATAGGACAATAACAGCAGCACAAACCCATCTTAAACCCAATTTCTTTATTGGTTTTGACCAAAGCATCCATAGCATCCAAAGCATTCATAACAAGGAACACTTCATTCACTTGTGCAGCTAGAAATTGTAGGGCTCTGGTGGAAGAATCAATGAAGTCCTCTCAGCAGACATGATAAACAGTGAGAATTTAGAAGGGGAGGCAATATGGGAACACACTTACAGTACTGAAAACAATACGATTACTGCAACAATTATTTCATTTTGTCGTGTAAGTAATAAATAAACATATAAGTCAGGTTTCCTTTTAACTTTAATGCATATAAAATGATCAATATAGAGAGTAAATATATTAATAACATGTATGGTAAATGCATGTTTTATATGTTTTTAATGTTTAAATTTTTTTAATTATTTAAAAAAATGAAGCATTAGAGTTATTCTCATATTCATATTTTCTGGTAGTTTTCTCTCATTTTAATTATAATTTTATGTTAACACCCATTGTACAGCGCTACGGAATTTGTTGGCGCTATATAAATAATATAATAATTAATAATAATAATAATGTTAATTTGCTTCAATATGGGTCAGTCAGGTTATTTTACTCTCCTTTCCTATTAAATTGTTATATTCTGGCCTTAGTTACCAAAATAAAATTATATCTATCTATCTATCTATCTATCTATATATATATCTTTCAAATATCCTTTCTTATGCACGATGCTGCTTAGCTTATGCTGCTAAGGAACTTGATTATACTCTAGTAACTTTTTGTATTGATTACTGTGATTCTCTCCCCAGAAGCCATACTGCCTCGCTACACTCTGTAATTAATGTTGCAGAGAGACTCATTTGTATTTTCTGTCGCTCCTCTCACACCTCGCACCTCAATCCTTACATTAGCCTTCTGTACCCTATAGTAGTCAATGCAAAATACTAATCCATACCTATAAAGCTATAAACAACTCTACCGCAATTACATTTCTTCACTGATTTGTAGGTATACCCTTATTGGTCTCTCCATTCTGCCAGTGACTTTCTCCTGTCCACAGCTCGCACCCTTACTGCTAACTCGCGCTTGCAAGACTACTCACAGGCAGCTGTTTTTCTTTGGAACAGCCTGCCTATCCCTATCAGATTCTCCCCTAGTCTTCAATCATTTCCAAAGTCCCTCAAAACCCATCTCTATAGAAACATTTATGGCCTCCCAGAGTAACTTTTTTACAAACCTGAATCTTGTTCTGTCTTGTCCACTCTTACCTTTCATCTCTGCTACTTCCAAACCTTGTATTTTGGTTGCTATCCCCCACTTGAGTGCAGCCCCCTGGATTCATATACATATATATTTGGGAGTCAGGCCAACTCCTTGGTTTTGCACCCCTCCCTGTCACTGCTGCCTTATTCCAGGGTCCTATTTAGCCTTGTGCTGCAGAGAACCTGAGATGGAAATTGTTTCCCCAAGTAAGTGGGCTAATCTCTTAAGAGCAGACATTAGGCTGTTAGAGTAGGACTTGCCAAAGATGGGGTACATTGACGTGTGGCAGGCTTATGCAATGTACAATCATATACTGTTACTAAACACCCATTATATTTGCCTAGATAAGGTATTTTTAAAAAAGAATAAAAAAATAAAAAAATAAAATCTGTGAGCTGAAGTTGCTGTTTAGTGGATGCATGAGTGCGCTGGATCTTGTGTATTATATATATATATATATACATATATATATATATATATATACATATATATATATATATATATATATATCACATATTCTAACTTGGTCATAAATACATGGAGTTTTTTTCTCTAATATATATATATATATATATATATATATATATTAGAGAAATATATATATATATATATATATTGTGGTGTGTGTATATATATATATATATATATATATATATATATATATATACACACACCACAATACCACATAGTCTAAATTGGGAGCCTGTCTTATTATTCTTCTAAAAATACAGATTAATTTTGCCTCGTCACATTTTAGTTATTTTTAATTTTATGTAATCCCTTTGTGGGTTTTATTTTATTTTTCTAAGGTGTATAAAAGAATAATAAAAAAAATGTGCGTACTCACGTACTTATTTCATTGACCTCAGGAGGATGAAAGTCTAAGTGGACCCATTGAGATTTGAACTGGTGAACTTGAGGTTACATAGGTGTGTAATACTTCTGAGTCTCTCACTTACTGCCTTAAGCTGAAATTGGTTTTATTCATCAATGTTGTATATGTTCCCTTTTTCATTTGTGAGTAAAGGTGTTTTTTTTTTTTTCACTTCTTGGGTTTTCATTTATATTGTATCCTTTATTCCCATGTATGTTTTCTTTTATTCAAATCCCTTATTTTTTACAGTTACTAAGTTGGAATGGTGTACATTCGGGGTACAAGCAATATCAAAAAGGTTATATGATCCATATTTATAATTTGCTTTACTATTCATCTCTATTGAATTTCACTGCTGCACATACTTTCTTGATGTAATGTGCTTTATTTCCTTATATTTTCTGGTTTGTATTTCTCATTACCTGAAACATTTACTAAAAATGAAATATCTGACTGTGAAAATGCCCCAGCATAAATGGAAGCTACTACAAATACACACAATAACATGCACATAGTCTGAAGACATAGTCTTTTGTAATGTAGTTTGACATTTTTATATTATACTAGATAGCAAGTGATTCTACATTGTTGACACTTTGTTTTTCTTGAGAGGTTCACAATGGTATACAGTTAGCACTTTCCTACAGCCTTCCTCAGAAATAGTGAATTGAATTGTTCAGTGGTTACTTTGGATGAAAATAAAAGGTACAATTATGTTGTCAAAATAATTATTACTTAGTTACTTAATGTAGCCAGAAAAATACTCAAGCAACATTTTTTTTTATTTTAAAGATATAAAAAATTAAACCAATATAGTCGGACTTACTCTCTAGATGTGATATAGTTAGCCCCAAAAGTGATTTATATTAAGTAGCTTAATAGATGTAAGACACAGGAGACCTGTTCTAACAATTATAGTCATCCTTGCTGTTACTTGTAACCAATTCCATTCTGTTGTCAATCTATTTATAGATGCATTGGTATGAGTTGCACCCTCTGGTGGTCTAGGTGGTAGAGCACAAAGATATCTCTTACTTTGGTTCATGGCTGATTTGTGCTACCAACTGCTTCAGCTAAGGTATTTCATAGTGAGGACCCATTTTGGAGTAGGGAACACTAATCAATATAAGCATACATTTTGAAGAAACCCTTTGCTTACATCACCCCAGAGGAGCATAATGAATGCACTGCTGTCAGTCTCCAATGCATTGTTGATGTATTAATAGACAAGACATATCCTTCTATAATGTCTAGAGCTGCCATAAAATCCTTACTTAGGTCCAGTTATGTCTTTAACCTTGCAACCTTTGGATCTATACTACTGGTTGCATCACATCTGCCTTCCATATGCTCTGTTCTTTATCACACTACTTAGCATAGTAATGTATATTATAAGAAATATTTATTATTGTATTTTCTTTTATTTTCACAGACAAAGTTATGTTTATAAATGTTCTGTCCACATAATTTGTCAATTAAAATAAATGTAATATTCATTTTGTGCGAACTTGTAATTTATCTCTCTGTGCTTTAGTTATTCCTGAAGACGTAACCTTATTTTTTTCAAATCAAATCTTCATAATGTTTACTATAAGTAAATCCTTATCAGTACTAATTAGAAATGTAGATGGTTTTATAAGTATGTATTACTTGGTGTAATTATGACGTGAATCTGGCTCATACATGTCTACTTGACTTTTCTAAAAATGTACCATGCTTTAACTTACCAGCTTGTTACTGGTAACTTAGATAACTCATTGGTTATATGTGACATAGTCAAATCATTCCCCCTCTAATGATAAATTTAGGGTAAATGTACGGTTAATTAAACCACCATAACGAAGACAGCAGTGCAGAAATTCAAGGTTAGGTAAACTTTTTACAAAAGAGAATATTGGTTGAGGTAACGCTAAAAACAATTGATAAATAAAGTTCGATAGATTTTGAGGTGAAAATGTAAATAATTACCACTAATTTAATCTCCATAATGTGTTGAATCTGAAGTTGGGAATTGTGGACAGTTAAAAAAGGACATTTTAAGCCAAAATAGCTGAATTCACTAAATCTCCAATCCAGCTATTTTTCAAGCTAACACATTTTGCCATAAAATGTTCAATTCTTTGATCCCTGGCTGAGTAAATAAATTCCATAATTTGCATTGTCGTTATGAATCATCATTTTGATTAAAAACAAATTTAGCTGCACAAATAGAAATACTATTACAACTACAACAGCTACTTTGCTAAATAATTCTAATTTTTTGTTGCTTAATTAAATTGTTGTATTAGACATTATAATGCATTATTTTCAGATAACCAAATAAAATTTCCCTACGACTATTAAGATGGAAACAACCAAAACTGGAAGTTAAAGGACAGTAAGGGTCTATTCCAGTTCACTAAACTTTTCTACACTGTGCAAATATTGTTTTTAAAAAGTTCTATTACATTGTTTATCTAACGAAAAAACCCAAAAGAATAAAAACATTTTTTTAGTAAGCATAACCAAGTCATTGGACATCTTCACAAATTTTATCTGTGATAATATAATTTTAAATCTGGGAAATAATAATGTACACTTAAAGACAAAGAAAAAGTAAAAACATGTTAAGGACCATTTCAAAAGTCCAAATGTTTGTACATGAATATACCCTTACAACAAACATCTGTCACTAAGTGCAACTTATCGAGGAAAGGTTCATTATTTTTTCGAGTTTTTTTGTTCAACCACAATATTTTATAATTTCCTGGCATGTTGAGAAAAAATAATTTAGACATTGTTTCAATAGGTAAATCACCATATTTATATTAGTTCTCTTCTAAATGTTCCAATTGAAAAGACTTGGTAAAAAAATGGTAATAGCAAACTCGTGTTCATTCAGCTTTCCCATGATTTATCACATCAAAAAATAATCATTATGTCACCATCTCGCCACCTGACTGTTATAGTCTTCAGTCGTAGCTACTTCTGCTGTCTTGTCCCCTTTATGCCATTGATGGACCTTCTGCTCTCTTAGCAGTCGCCGTTCCTCCTTCCTTTTTTCCCTTTTTCTCTGGTGTTCTTGCTGCCTAGTGTGCTGAAAACGCTGTAAAAATAGGTCCTTAGCATATTCATACAACTGCATGTCTAAATAGTTAAGTTCTTTTATACGTTCCCGAGACCATTCATCAATGTCCACATTTGAGGCTCTTGTAGTATTGAATTGAGTGAATGGAGAAATAAATTTGAGATTGAATGTTCTTTCAAACAGGTATTGTGTCTTTCTTTGAAACTCTGTTAAACCATAAAAGGCCATGTTTTTAAGATTATTCTTAGCACTCTGGAGAAGAATATCATTTCTTTCACTTTCATTCATAAAAGTCAAATTGTAACATCCAACAAGGCTGAGATCAGCAAGCATACGGACCTGGCGGTTGCTTGCCAGATTATAGCTGCAGTCCATGAATTCCTGCAATGTGACCCCAGACCAGTCATCCCCCAGATAACAAGTAGGCAATTCATCGGGTGTTGGACTTCTTCCATCACAGACATGCAGTGATGCTTTCCAAGTTGCTCCTCTTTGAACATGTTTCCATTCACTTAAGTAACGTGATACAGGGTCTCTCAACATCGTAATATAATAAAAATTCCTGAAAGAAAGATTGTAGACATTATATTAGAGCGATCTAACAAAAAGTATAATATTTAAGTAGAATAACAAATTGCCAACATATTCAAAAGTGAGAAGTATTTTTTGAGTTGCACTAGTATTTACATATCACAAACCACCGAAACAATTCCTTTGAGTAGATATTATCTCCAACAGTACATATGATAAGGAGTAAATGTATATAAACAAACACAAACAATTTATGCTGCTTTTTATCTAAAGGCAGTGAAAATAAATAAGAGAGAGATAAATGCTTTAAGAAAAGTGCTATATAAATACATTATATATAATTGTGTTTCATCTGTGTGTATAACAATTTTTCTATCTAGATACAAATGGTTTGAAACATTATATCAGCTCATTTTTAAAGTAAATGATTACTTGTATTTCCCTCATAAGTATGACATGAAAAATAAATGGTGCTGCTTTTATTATTTTTACGTTTTGTCAATTGCATATTTTATTTCTTAAGAGTGGTAAATTAATATCAGCCATCCTTTTTTTTTCCCTTTGTACCAAGAGCAAAACATGAAATGTTCAGCAATAATTTCAAATAATATTCATGAATTGTTTATACATTTGCTCACTTAGACGAGTTAAAATATTTATGCTGACTTTATTGGACTTGTCTGGTTTGCTTTTTATTATATTGAATATTCAATGCAAATTCCATCACTCTCTTATAAACAGTATGTTTGACTTTTTCTAAAGAAAGATATGGCTCTAGATGTTCAGAGTTATTCTAAGAGTTATCTGAAATATCCCCAAAATATATTGCTCCTTAAAAAAAAATTAAAAAAAATGCAAGGATCATGTCAAAGCGATAAATAATAAGCAGTAATATTTACAAAAAGAAAAGAAAATAGGTACATAAATAGTGACAGACAGATGGACAAACAGACAGATGGACAAATAAATAATGAGTATATTAAAGACAAATCTAACTTAATAAATTTATTAACAACTAAACTAGCTTAAGCTGGAGGTTGGGTCTCAGAAGGCATAATCAACTAAATCTTACAGCACAATCTGCAGTATGGCAAACCATGTACTGAGTGTATAGTTATCTAAATACACACTGGTGTAATTATGTCTAATTTAAATGACATATATAATTACACAAATAGGATCCATTTAAGCCAGCAGGTCTTTAGCCTCCTGCAGAGAAACAGGGATAGTTGCTTTATTTATAATCTGTTACATCTACAGGCACGTGCCAATCAAACTCTGTATCAGTGTACTCAGGATGAATCCATCCTTTTGCAGCTAAAAATATTTTTTAGATGTCTTCTTTACATTTTTCTTTATTCTTTAACTTTATTAAAAAGACAGCACATTTTCTATCTAAACATGTGTGAAGTTTTCAGTATCACTTTGTTCTTACTTTGTAAGTGTTCAATTATATTTAAGAAATCATTAATAAGAAGAAAAAATGAATTGTTTTTAATCCATTGAGATATCCATTTATAGCTTCTCTTTCCAGTTTATCTGTGTTGCCAGTCTATCCAAGCATCCTACAGGAATGATAAAATATAATTGTGACCAGTTCCCATTAAAAGGAAACAAGACAGCCAACACAGTATGCCAGTTTTTATCTGCTGGTTTCTTGTACTAACATAAGACTGATGTCATTTTCAAGTGGATACACCTTTCATCATGACATATTTAGAGTGACATTGAATGAGTTAGTAGGATAGTGACAGTTTTGATAGCATGACTTGTTTCAGAATAATAAATAAATCATAGCACTAACATACTTGGAAAGCACAATGTACTGCATCATTTTAACAATTAAATTATTATTTTCTCTTCTCCACCCTTCCCCTCTACTTATCTTTCCCCTTGTTGAACCTCAAGCCTATGCCTATTTTGTAAACTTTTTTTTATATTAAGGTGACATTATACATAAAACAATATTGTCCTGTCACTCTTCTCCATTGCCCTCTTTCTTTCTTTTTTTTTTTAATATAAATCTTTACTTGGTTTTAAACGGGAATAAGTTACAAATATCTCATACCAAAATAAAAAAACAACAATAAATATCTAACATTCAATCTAAACAATTACTTCTAAACATACACCATTCATACACAAAAAGAGTGGGATAAGGACACAGCATACGTAGGAAACATTATATGTCTCTTATTCTTTAACAGCTCAATAAACTGAAGTGAATTAGTGAACTACTCCTATATTTCTATAATTTTCTATAATTTGTAAACACTTTATTCCCATCTCATATTTCTGTACATTGTCTTTCCCCCTATATATAGCTATCTCATTCTTGATCTGGGACAACAGCCGTTTCTCCCAATTTTTACAATCAATAACTGTAGAATTTTTCCAGCTTCTTGCTATCAGAATCTTCACTGCCATGAATGAATGAATAGTTAAAAATTGTTGATATAATGATATATCAGGCCAGTGGAGATGTAGAAGCGCCGAAGTTGGAGATTGATCTATCAAAATTTTATCCCAGACATATAATCTTCTGAAAACCTCATCCCATAGTTTCTTAATTAATTTGCAACTCCACCAGATATGGATAAAGCTTCCAATTACACTCCCACATCTCCAACAAATATCAGACTCATTATGGTCCAATCTATTTAGTCTGCTTGGCACTAAATACCAACAATAGCATATTTTATAATGCGTCTCAAACAGAATTGTATTATGAATATTTTTTTTTTTACCTTTAACATCATATTACCCCAGCTCGTGAAATCAATCTTTAAGTTACATTCCTTTTCCCATCTTTTTATTTGTTTAGACATTATGTCTTTAGGAGCCGATCTTATCAATGCATAGCAATTAGCCATATTTTTCCTAGCACTTTCACTTCCAAAAATTTGCTTTATGAGACCACTGCTTGTTAAATTACCCTTATCAAGGGATTTCCCTACAAAGGACTTTATTTTTAGATAACGAAAGGCCTCTACTTGTGGAAGGCCAAATTCTTTAGACAGAGTTAAAAAATCTTTCATTTTATCCCCTATTATTATATCGTCCATGATTTGAATATTCCGATCTTTCCAGGTATCTATTTTTAAATTGGGCATTAGAACCTCCAATAATTCTATCTCCATAAATCTGAAGATATTACCCAAAATTTTTAGTTTTTTCCTTATCATAAACCAATTATTAAATAAATGATTTAAAATTATATTTTTAACTTCCTTCCCAGTATTCTTGGGTTGCCAAAGATACTTAATTAGTTCCTTCTTATTCAATAATTGAGTCTCTAATCCAAACCAACCAGTTTTTTCAGAATCTTTTTTGCCCAACAACTGGGTATGGTATATAATGGTGGCTTCGTAATGTCTTACAATATTTGGGAAGTTTACCCCTCCTTGCCCTATAGTATTTGTTAATTGGTCTAAACTAATCCGAGGCTTTTTCCCTTTCCAAATAAAATTCTTAAAAATCCTTTGTATTATCTCCAACCATGGTAAGGGAATTTTTAAGGGAACCATTCTAAAAAAATAGGTCCATCTTGGAACTATGTACGCATTTATTATGTTTATTCTTCCCATCCAACTAAAAAACAAATGATTCCACTTTTTTAACAATATCCCAGCGGATTTCAATAGCTTTGTAAAATTAATCTCTATCATTTTTTCTATCTTATCCAATATTAGTACTCCCAAATATTCAAAGCTACCGTTAGCATCCGTAAAACCATATGTCTTTATAAATTCATTCTTCCACTCTTTATTACAATTTTTAAACATCACTATTTTTTTTTTATCTTATAATTTGAAATATTACTGTATGCTTCTATTTCCTTCATCAAGTTATTGACCGATTGAGTAGGATCTGTAAGAGTCAGAATTGTGTCATCTGCATACATGCTAATTTTTAGGTCTCTATCAGG